GGAGGGCACCGTGACTCTGGGCCGCGCCGGCGGCGCCCTGCGCCTGGCCGTCGAGTACAGTCGGGCCAGCGGGCGCCTCCGCATCCGGCTGCTGCGCCCCGAGGGCCAGGCCGGAGGAGACGCCGAGCCCCGCGCCGTCGGCTGCCGAGTCAGCTTCGTCCTGCAGCCGCCGGGCAAGACGCGCCAGCAGCGCAGCGCTGTGGTTCGGCGGAGCCGCAAGGCCGTGTTCGACCAGGACTTCTGGTTCGACGGGCTCTCGGAAGACGAGGTGCGCCGCCTGGCCGTGCGCGTCAAGGCGGAGAACAAGGGCCGCGGCCTGGAGCGGGGCCGCCTGCTGGGCCAGGGCGAGCTGCTGCTGGGCTCCCTCCTGCTGCTCTGAGGGCGCACAGCCCTGCCCCCGCGGCGCTTTCTGCCCGCTGTAGATTCTCAGACATTGACAGGCGCTTTGTACAAAGTAAACGTGGATTTATTCTTCTAATGAGGCGTTTGTTTCAGTCCAATATTGGTAGAAATGATATAGGATTAATTATCACACGGAAAGATGAGATATTTTGTGTAGATAGTTTCACAATTCTTTTCAGCAAATGGTATGGTGTTCTGCAGTAGGGTTTCCCATTGTGAGTAGTCAGTTGCATTTCATCTGTTCCCCAGAGTCAGGTTGGGGGTAATGAATTACATGAAGTGGTAAAACTAGAGAATGTCTTGGCTATTTGCTTGCGCCAATCTCATTTTGAAGTTTGTTCATTCCACAACATCCATTGAGACCATCTTAGAGTATTTATTACCTTTGAAGCATTGTCTAAAATCCTGAATAAGAAAATGAGGCCAAGACAGGTAAAGTGACTTTTCCATGGTCAATAGTGAATTATTAGTAAGAATTCCAAGGTGATACTCTGGGCTACATCTTGTAGGAAAAGCATTGGAGGAATTTAAACCATTTTAGTATTCTAAGCTTAAATAATTATAATAGTTTTACAAGTATTGTAATGCTTAATGCCACCCTTAAGAAGCTAGTATCACGATCTCATTTTACAGATGAGGATACTGAAGCACAGAATAAAGAGCAGAGTCAAGATTTGCACCTAGGCAATCAGTGCTGTACTCATTGCTCTCTAAATACCACAGTGTCTTAAGGGCTCATCTCACTAGTGTGAGAATGTAGTTTATATCTGAAATTGTGGACTCTAAGGTTAGGGTCACCTCACATTCCTCACCATCTAGTGGAAAAGCAAATTGGTTGAAATGAGTAATTTATTATTTCATGCAAAAGACTTCAGGCATTGAGATGACCTGGGTCTAAGGCTCCGATGATGAGGAAGCTAACTGGCCTCCACAGGAAAAGGAATGCCAGCTTTATTGGCACCAGGTGAGCTAATGTGCAAGGAATCAAAGATGTACCTGTAACATTGCTATAGCTCTGAGTTCTGATAATAATAATTCGTTAATTATGTTTTAAGGATGATTTTCCTTCAAACATCACATTCACTGCCAGCCAGGTATATTTCTTCCTTTCTTACACACATAGGAGGAAAATGTGTCCTAAATGAGGAATGAAAATATTTAAATATGTGGTGTGGTGTTAAATATGAGTACATTGTCAGTCTCGAATCAGAAATGGTTTCTGCTTTCACTAAACTGTTCACAGTTTTATCTGTTGGTGCTCATAAAAAATGCTATTTAGAAATGAGCTTCAGTTTTACAACTCAGGCATACACTGAAAATGGGTTATTGTGGTGGGTATTTACAATGACAATCATTGAACAAATATGAAGAATAACTGTGAATTCATTGACTCAGAATCAACCACATGCATAAGCTAGAAGTGGTTGACCAAATGAATGATGACAACAGTAGCTCAGACCTATCATGTGCTCTTCTATCTACTCTGTCACATTCTTTTTGGCTTTCAAGCCAACAATTAGTTTTTAAAATGATTAACCTTCATGATTTTAGAATTTTGGTAGAGTAATACTTAGTTCACATATGTCATACTTTAAAAGGAAAATAAATGGAGAGTGAAAACAACTTGGCTATCTACAAGATTATTGTAGGGTTTCAGTTACCTTTTTTTTTTCCAAATAAAAACAGACCATTCTGATGGCTTGTAAAATCTTATTTCAGAAAACATTACAATTTCTATTGTCATTAGATTATATACAAGTAATAGTTTGGGGGCAGAAGTATCATTTTATTAAGAAGTAAATCAATGCATTTCAGGGACCTAAATTTTCCATGGCATAATGGCGGCTAGTTCCAAACAGATTTCCACTAATGTCAAGCTATGTTTGGTCAAATAATGAAAGAGCCTAATCAACATGCTTTTAAAAGGACTGAAATAAAGTCATAAATCACAAAACCATGGAATTTTGAAGTCGAAAAAACATTAAGAATCATTTTGTGCAAATCCGTGTATCATAGAAAAAGACTATAGAGGCAAATTGAAGATTGCCTCAAATCATGATTAGTTAAAGAGCTGAGACTAGAACCAATTCTGTTGTCATTTTGCTCTTCAACCTTGGACCAACTACTTCCAAAGGAAAGCCATTTGCACATAAGTTATTTTACATCACTGAATTAATTTGGACGTTTTGCATTTAAGAAATCTTATTTGCAAAATCTTTTTCGTAGTAGTCTTTCTGCGGCAAATTTAAATTTAGTTTGCACTTTGCTACCTTCTAGTGGCTTCCTCATGTGTTTTGTAAGCGGATCTTGGACCATTTCAACTAAATAAAGATCAATCTAATGCCAGAACCCAATGACCTTGAAGATGTGTGCTAATATCAGATTATAGTGAAGATTCATATCGCAAAATAGCTAAATACAGCTACCTGAGTATAGAAGGTGCCAAAAATATTTCGATTAAAAAAAGAGAAGAAAATTTTTTCCCAGTAATAATGAAGCTGGGAGTGTGTGGCAACAGAGTGTTGATTGTAGAAAACTGCTTTAAGAGTTGTCATGTTTCTCATCAGATTTTAGGTGTGCATATCTTTTCCACAAACGAAATGGCACAATCTTGCCTCTTTGTAATTTAAATGTATGAACATATTCAAAGAAAAACCCTATACAACAGACTGGCAATGTACCAGTTTAAAAAACATTGGTTAAGTATAAATTTAAGAAACAAATTAATAGCTTTGTCACTTGGTTTTACAAAGATAGTACATTCTGCACCTAAAATACTATCTTTAGTATGGCTCAAACGTGCCTAGAAGATTATTTCTTTAGAATCTAATTTTCTTTTACAAACACTTCAGCAATTCACAAACATTTTCCCTATATCCATTCCCAAGACTCAGGCCAAAATACTAATTTTGGCAGATGTTTAAAAGAGCAAAAAGGGCACCAATAATATTAAAGCAATAACATATGATATATAGTATAATATATGATATATGGTATAATATGTGGTAAAAGTACTAACTTTCATCTATAAGATGAATAAGGTCTGAGACTCTATAACATAGTGATATAGTTGATAATACTATATCATACAATTGGTATTTGCTAAAAATAGAACTGAAATGTTCAAAGAAGAAGGAGAAGGAGGAGAAGAAATCTGAGGTGATGGAGTGTTAATTAGAACGGAGGAAGCAATAAAAATACATAAGTGGATAAAAAGGCATTCTCAATGTTCATTTATTTTTATTTATTTAATTTTACTTTTTATTTTTTATTTTTTTAGGCAAAGCAACCCTTGGTTGACCTCACAGATTGCAAGGACCTTGTCAGCTTACGATTCCTTATTTTTTATTTATTTTTTTACACCTACAGCACCTGGTCTTCCTAGGTGGTCTCTCATCCTAGTACTAACCAGGCCTGACCCTGCTTAGCTTCCGAGATCAGATGGGATCAGGCTTGTTTAGGGTGGCATGGCCATAGACACAAGGTTCATTTAGAACATATATCATGGGGCAAATGCTGTTCAAGATTACAAACGTATAGCTGTAAATAAAGACGTAAAAGCTCCTTGCTCTTATGGAATTAAGTTTTCAAAGGTTGGGGAGGAGATAGACAATAAACAAATAATTTCAGTAGTGTTTAGATTCGGCCTTGTTAGGAAGCAAATAGCAACATGATTTTTTTTTTTTTCATCTTATGGTTTTCACAGCAAATTTTCATCCTTTATGCCCTTAAAACTTTGTAACGAGTATTTGGGCTACTTACTCTTATTGTACTGAGGGTAAATGCTATAGGTAGGCTCCTTCAACACCCAGTCCAACCTTTTATTGATTTCTCTTCTGTGCTGTACAGGTTAGAGGACAAACACTTGCCTTCTCAGACCCTTTTGCAGCTAAGACTAGCTATGTGATTCAGCTATGGCCAATGAAACATAAGATGAAGTCAGCTGATGGTGCCGCTGTCCCTTCCTCTCTCTTTCTTCTGGAATATACAAGTTGCTTGAGGAATGGCAGCTATCACCAAGGAAAGCAAAAGGATCTTGGTTCATCACTGATTCTCTAAGCCAGCTCCAAACAGCCTATATCCCAAATTTGGTCCATGAGACAAATACAATCCTTACTCATTTCAACCATTGTTGAGTTTTCAAATATGTATGAACACAATCCTAACTGATATAATACTCATGTTACAGAGGACACTTTGATTCAGAAGAGTTAAATAAGTTGCCTAAAATCATGCAGCAAGTAAATCATAAATTTAATTGCAGACCTCTCAGACCTCCATGCTCATTGCTTTTGTCACATCTCACTGTAAGCTATTTTTAAAAAACTTTCCTTGAGGTATAATTGATATACAATACATGGCACTTATTTAAAGCATAATTTCATGAGTTTTGACATACATATGCACCCATGAAACCATCACCCCAATCAAGACAATAAACACATTCGTTGTTCCTAATAGTTTCTTCATGCCCCTTTGTAACCCTTCTCTCCTGCCACCCAATCACCTCCTCTCTCTGGTCTCCATATAGCTTTTCTTCTGCTTTCTGTCACTATAGATTAGTTCGTGCCTTATAGTATTTTACATAAATGATGAAAGTATATATTCTTTTGGGTGGAGTCTGGCTTCTTTAACTCAGCATTATTATTCTGAGATGTATCCATGTTGTTGCCTATATCGATAGTTTGTTCTTTTATATTGCAGAATGGATGGCTATTGAATGGATAAATCACAATTCTTTTATCCATTCACCTGTTTGTAACTGTTTTCTATCCCTTGCATTTGTTATTTGATTCTTTTTCCCCTTTCCCTTCTTTTTCTGCCTTGTATGGTTTTAATTGAGCATTTTATATGCTTCTATGCTTCTATTTTTTCTTCTTAGCATATCAATTATACTTCTTTTAAAAATTTCTTTAGTGGTTGCTCTAGTGTTTGCAGTATACATTTACAATGTATCTAACTGCTTTCAGATAACACTATACTATTTCACAGATAGTTCAGGTACTTTATGAAAGAGTATTCCCAATTTATTCCTCTCATCTCATCGCATTGTTTT